AAAAATTTATCTTGGCCGACTATCATCAAAAGAGTCATTGTTAAACATCGGGGCTTTGGCTTCAAGCCTTAATTGCAAAAGTTACTGTATGGTCATTATTAACCGCCTCACCAGCCACACCCGCCCTTGCTTCGGCGCTCCGACTAAGTACAGTAAGTGTGGCAGCGGTTTTGGATAGCATCAGCGAAAACAACCTGTTAGTGTTGCGGCAAGAAAAGCGATAATCGTCGTCATGGCGTCATTGCTGATTGTGCGACAAATATATGGGCGTCGAGACGCTTGAAACGGCGACGATCGGCGATAAAGGTTTTGGACCCCTGTTGACAGGCGGGTGGCGAAAGGGCCAGACAAGCAGGTAACATCGACCATTAGACCCTCTACCTAAGACCCAATAACTTTGATATGGGCATAACTCGTGCCACAATCTTCCCATCTTCCACATTTGTTCTTGCCTATCTCAGAATTAGCTTCGCTGGCATATCCACGATTTTGCTGGTAGATTATTTTCAAGACACGGTACTTCAGAGAGCAATGCGAATCCATCACGAATTGTACTGGAGAAGCTGAGAGCCTATCGGAGCGTTTCATCCGATCAACATCATTGTTGGCTCTGTTTTATTGGTCGTTGGTCCCCAGAACCTATTCAAGGGTCCCGGACGCACGGCTGGCGACAGGGCGCGCACATGTCTTTAGTCCAAATAGCGGTTGTGGAAACCGCCAGGAGCTAGGATCGCTGGCCAAGCCAAAACGACACCGGCAAGAATGCTCAAGTTGGGTCCTTGGTCGACATCATTCATGTTTGCTATGAAGGCGGTTACATTGAAAACTGGCTTCTTCAATATGAGTTCGATACCATCGAGATCAAGAGGCGTGCAGATACGAGCTCAATGCCCCTAAGTTGTCAAAAGTATATAAGCAAGGCGATTGAGTCAACATCGTGAAGTTGGAGAATCCCATGGGCAGATCTCCCAATCGGATACATCTTCCCATCAAAATTGCCCAAGTCGTCAGGTTGTTATGATTGCCTCCAATGGGATACTAGTGCCACGGGAGGCTTGTGGCACCGGCGCACTAGCTAGTTGGACGGACTTTGATAAACTGGATAGGTCGACGTTCTCAATAAGGCCTGAGGGAACATGCCATTGCTCATTGATGCTACTGTTCATGCATGTCGGAGGCTTGCTGTGGTGGCAAGGATCGTGCCTGGAAATGGCACTTTTCTGGTCTTCAGTAATTGTTGCAGGCCAGTGACGTTTCAGGGCTTCTTACCTCGTGATATGCAGGCACTTCTCTATCATGATGTGATTGATGAAGAGCAGTAGCGATATGAATGCTATGTCCACAATGGCCGCACCGGTGCCTGTAAGTCACCAAAGCGCATGGCTTTTAATCTCAAGTAAAGACTTGCTGTACTGAGACTGGTGCTTGGGTTGATGAGGATCGACTTGTACATATTTTCCTCCATAACCTTTCCGGTGAGAATTAAATGCCGGTGTACGTTGGTCCAAGTGCATATGGACTGGGCTAGACCCTTCAAAGTGATTCAGGCCCCGTGCCCCCGTCATTGGAAACTAAGAGAGCCAGTGAAAGAGCGTTAAAGATGCCGGAGCTGGCCCGGAGAAATCGCCACATAAACATGGGGATCAATTATCGAGCTGTACGTATCCAATGGGTCGCATGGTGGTGGACCGTAAGGGCAACGGCTGGTAGTAAGTTAAGTTAGTTGGGCACCGAAGCAACCTATATTCGTCCTTTTAGTTACTAATCGAGTCGATTTCCATCGAGACGAATTGACTTTTTTTTTTTTGCGAACGATACGTATATAATTGTAAGGGTCTGTCGCGCGTGTCGATCGGATCTCAGGGACCTCCACCCTACCGCGCTCGGCTGTTTCTTGTCTTGTAGATCCTTTCCCTGCGAAGCTTTGAAAGCTACCCGCGAAGCCTGAGTGGCGATGGCTTCGTACGCGTCGCTGAATCGCGAGCGGCTGTTGCGTCCTATTGCGGTCCGTTGAGAAGAACACAACAGTTGCATGGTTCATGGTTAGTTGTTTCTAGAGATGCCGGGTGTTTGAAGTCAACCATATCATGTTGCACATAGCATTGAGGTCTTTCAATGCACCAAATCTCTCGTCTGTCAAATGCTTTTTGATAGAAAGTTATAGGTTAAGACCTGGAAAAGGCTGAGGCTTTCTAGTGTGTGTATTGGATTTGCATGGCAGTCGTTGCCCCAGTCTTAAACTGTAAGAGGTAAGTACCTACCCTCAGCACCGTAATATTTCTTGTTGCTACAGCAGGGACTACGTACTGAAGAGAGTTAAAATTCTGGGGCAGGAAGGACCTGTCAGCCATGAACGGACAAACCACGAGATGGTGGCAAAAACGGTTCCTTCCTGCCAGCCCTCGACGGGACGGGGAGTTTTACGTTCCCATCCTTGAACGGTTCAACACCATCTCCAGTTAAAGACTCTGATAATACATACATCCACACAAGCTAACGTCAGAGCCAGAGTCTTCAAGCCCGTTTTATGTTTCATTACGTTTCAAGCCACCAACATCATTGACAAGCATCCACACACGTACAGATGCTGCGTGGTGCTTTCGTAAATTTGACGTACCTACGTTAGTAGGTACATACAGACTCTCTCTGTGTGCGAGGAGTGTTTTTTTTTGGTTTGTTTCCCGATAATAATCTGATCACAATTATTACTACTATTTCAAGCTACTACCGGTAATTAGAGAAGCACAGGCAAAAAGTCACAGTCATGCATACAGAGCTTATCCATAAACGCAGAGACTTTTCGATCTCGGAGATTGTACATACCCTCGCCGTGGAACCCACCAATATCCATTTCCAACGAACTTCGCTTTGAAATGCAGTTCATTCATTTCGATTTTAAAGAACAATTCCCCACAGCAACGGCATACTCACATACACACAGAGGAAAACCTCGATGCAGCGCGTCACATCATTTCAAGTCTTGGCCTTGAAATAGCCCTGTACTGTACGTACACTTGCTGATAGCTGCTCCACCTATGCACTTTGTGTCAAGGTTTCCACTTTGGCTATCGAAACACCCCCTTCTCTCTATAAGCTAAATTAGGTTCTACTGTGGCTGTTCTTGCTTGGACCCTGTTTCCTTGCTACCAGAACCGTTTCTCGGCTCGAACCCTTGCTTCCAATCACATTTCTCAACTACATCTTGACTACGTTTTCAATGCAAATCTGTGGCACCTGGTACCTGAATGTTGGCCAAAGTGGTGGACCGATAGACGGTGGCGGAAATGGTAGCTCTTTATGTGACCTAAGCCACCAACGTCTGACGAGACGGTAGTCCTTTCAACTTACATATTACTCCAGCCGAACAAGGGGGCTCTGCAGCAGTTTGTGCCGAAACCTGACGGGCAGACAGACTGATGTATATCCGGGTCGCTGTCAACAAGTCTCACAAAGACCAGGCAGATTGCCCATAGTTGTCCGCGGCAAGCTCCAATCCTTTAATCGTGTGGCTTGACGGCCTATCAACACTGTTAATCCAGCTCAGTCTTACCATAGCTCTATTGGTAGTGCTGTTCTGGCAATAGCTACACTTGTCTTTACCTATTACTATTCTTGTCCGAACTCCCTTCCTCCACTTCCTCCACCCACTCCTCCACCGGCACGGCCCTAGCAAATTCCCATCTTTGAGCTGTGCCAACTTAGAGATCGCCCATCACATTTCCCATCTATCATACGAATCTGTGTCTCACGCCCCCATGAGCCTATCCTGCTGTACCCCTTCATCTAGTCTGAACTTGGTCATTTATTCCTTTTATCCCTGCGTGTGTCCTTGCCGTGCAGGACCTACCAAGCCTTTCGTGAGCCCTAGCTTCGGAAGCTTGGACTGTTGGCCACTCGCTATCTCCGTTGTTAAAGCCTCTACTATTTGATCGTGGGCTGAGATTTCGCCCCTTGCCCTTCCACAGGCTTCTCTAGCCTAGCATCCCTTTAGAGGCCGTTTCTCTTTTGAATGTCCCTGAAGCTTGAGGAATTGCTTTTGTCAATCCACTTACACCTCAAAGGACATTCACTTACAGCTGGCACAAGGCTGGCTAGTTTGTCCTCATACGGTTCAAGGTCTTATACACACCTCTGCAGGTGTTTCCTTGTTGTGGTTCTTCACTAACGCACCGAAAGCCATTCGATCACTGGGTTTCGTTGTCTTGTGCCGTTGTAAGTGCTTGTGCGCTGAGCAAGCTGCGTGGTTGACTACCGACTTGGGAGGCGGCTTTGTTGCACTTCGACACTTTACCTCCAGCAATCCACTGGTCTCTGAACTAAGTTTATATCCCTGTTGCGCCAAAAGGAAATATAAGCAGTGCCCATTATCGATCATATCACCATTTCAACTCTTTTCCCTTCTGGAAACTTGGCATTGGGCTCAAAGGTGCTCAACGATTTTACTGGTTTCCCCGTGGGGACAACGCACGCCTTGCTTCGAACACATCCTCCAAGAATTATCATTACCACTACCGCCGCCCAGCTTCCCAAGAAGTGCATACAAAGGGACAGAGCAATAATATCACTTCCGTCTTCTCAGACCCAAAGTCGTGGGGTCCATACCCATCCCCCACCCATCGAGTAACATTATCGGCTCTTGCACGTTCTCGGCCACAAAATTGCTCGGTATCCCCCTCTCTTTACTTGTTCCCTAGCATTGGTCAGTCACAACATCAAAAGAGGGCTAGACCATTGTCTTTTTTCCCCTCAGCTCAGACCCTGTTCACTTGTAGCTTTAGCTAGCAAGTATACCGGTTTTCGGTTTGAAACGACACGACTTTCTCTGGTAGGGTCTTTTGCAAGTGATCTTCTCTCACAAGACAATATCAAGGTACGGCATCCTCCACAGAAGTCATAATTTATATAGAATGCTGTGTCGAGTTGAGAGATGTGCTAACCGACTTGAAACAATAGCAGGCCGTCCTGTCACCACTTGAAATCACAACTACGAAACAACACAAATGGGAGACATAGCTAGCACCCAAGCCCCAGATATGGGAGCACTTCAACAGGATACCGCAAAGGTTGTCAGCACGGCGGCACCTAGTGGCCCTCCACCAGCTCAGGCCAAGCCAGAAACCAGTCATGAGCACGAGCTCTCTCCTATGTCCCAACAACACCATGCTGCATCTCAGCACGCTTTCGCATCACAGTTCGACATGTCTCAACTCCCTTCAGGTCCTCGACCCGGGCCATACAACATGGCGTCTATGTCCAACGCTCTCCCATCGATGGGCTTCCGACCTGGGCAATATCCTCCGAACAACCAGCAACGTATGAACCCCGCAGGGTCACCGCCAATGATGCAGCATATGTCACAGTTCCCTGGACACCCGGCAATCCCAGTCGCTGGGCAGGGTTATTACCTACAACCGCAGATGGCACCATATTACGGGAACCAGATGCCCCAGGCTCAAGCAACAAATGCAATGGTTCAAAGGCAGAACGTGGCATATTTCCCAAACCAGATGATGATGGGTCCTCAGCAATCAACTTACTACTATCCTCACGGCCCACAGTACCAGCCTCACACGCAGCCAGTACTAAATGGCATCATCCCTGGCCATTATCCTGGTGGAGGGTCCATGCCCAACGACCCAAAAATCGTGCCGCAACAGGCAGATTATGGAGCAGTTCACCCACAGCCTTACAAGCAGGGACAAGGTAGGGCTGGGAAACAACCTCCTGCCAAAACTGAGCTAAAGAGAACCTCAGATGGGTCAGAGAGGGAGAGACGACAGAGTGCAGTGCGGGGTCCCCCCAGGAAGCCGCGACAGAGTGGTAAGATAATCTGCCTTGATAATCGGTGAGCGTTTACTAAAGCCCTGTATTAGGACACGCGATATGGATTGGCAATCTTCCTCCACAGACCGACCTTATGAACCTTGTCCATCACGTTTGCAAGGAAACATCAGGATTGGAGTCCCTTTTTCTTATCTCGAAGAGCAATTGTGCGTTTGCCAACTTCAAGGACGACGAAACCTGTAGCGCAGCACAACAGAAATTGCACGATTCGAAATTCCAATCGGTTCGCCTTGTCAGCAGGCTGCGCAAGAGTACAGTGGAGGGTGCTACTGGTGTGACAGCCCCGACTGGGCCATCAGTGGCTACGGCAGGTCCCAAGATTGAACCTGTCCCGGACAAGGCGCAAGTAGAGGGCGAACTGCCGGGCCCAATAGTCGAGTCAGCAGTGTCCATCAAGCCCATTATTTCTTGCGATGCTTCATCACAGAAAGACAAATTCTTTATTCTAAAGAGCCTGACGGTTGAAGACCTCGAATTGAGTGTTAACACAGGCATTTGGGCTACTCAATCGCATAACGAGGACGCATTGAACAATGCGTTCAAGGTATGCTACCATATCTATTCCACCGAGCTTGTGCAATAACTAAATGTTTTCGATAGATTGCTGACAGCGTCTACTTGGTGTTCTCGGCCAACAAATCGGGTGAATACTATGGTTATGCCAGAATGGTATCGCAAATCGACGAGGACCCTGCAGCAGCTATCGAGTTTGCGCCAACGGCCCAGGCGACCAGCGACCTCGACCTTCCAAAGGCCATACCGACCGAAGCAACTGAACAGGCTCCCAAGGGCCGCATCATCGACGATTCCGCAAGGGGTACTATATTTTGGGAAGCTGATCGGGAGGATTCAGATACATTGTCGGATGATGAGAGTGAGGCTGAAGTGTCGAGTACCAAGAGCAACGTTGGAGAGGATGGCCCTACTAAGACGTGGGGAAAGCCTTTCAAGTTGGAGTGGTTGTCTACAAGCCGTCTACCATTCTACCGTACCCGAGGGTTGCGCAACCCGTGGAATTCGAATCGCGAAGTCAAAATCGCACGAGACGGAACCGAGCTTGAACCTTCAGTTGGTCGGAGACTTATTGGACTTTTCAACCGTGTGCAGAGTCCAGAGGCCGTGCACCAGGGCGTGCGGGTTCCCGTGGCCATGATGCAAAGTTTCGCCCCAGTACGGCCATACGGACAATAAGAGCTGGTTTGGACAGGAGACAGGTTCTATGAATGTTAATCTTGGTATTGGCGTCTTGCAGTGCTCTTGCAGATGCATTTGCCGAGACGGTAATTCAAAGTTACGATGATATGATTTGGAATCTATGCAGGGCATTATTGGCATGTTACTACGGATAGGGTCATTCATATTGATTGCAAAGGTCACTGTGTGGCAGTTTACGTCTCATTATAATAACCAGCTAATTTCCAACGGTTTCCGAGATGTGCAAGTGAAGTTGTGAACCAAAATACCACTGACCGTATCATCAAAATGGCCAAAGTTGATCTGGTCTAGTCTGGTCCAGTCAAACGGTGGCTTTCTTTTAGATTGTCAGGTACCAGGTGGCAACGGTCAGTCCGGATGGCTTGGTGGTGTTACCCGTTGCTTTCCGTGGGCGGGCCGCTATTCTCATGTCCGAGTTTCCTCGGGGCGTGTCTTTGACGTTGTAAATTTGTTTAGTACGGTAGATTAAAATGATAAGACAGTCAACTGAAGTTGGGAGTGTTGTGGCAACGTTGTGGCTGATGTAAATGGCACGGTGGGGTGTGTCTTCCAAAGATGGTAAAAGAGCAGCTTACCGAACCAGCATTATTAACTCGGTCGACGCTAGTTGGCCATTTTAATGACCGACGACGACAGGCACATATGGGATGTCACACAAACTAGGAAGCTGTCGGCCACTCAGTTTGCCGTCCCTTATGCTGGGTTTAGGCGGGCTGGGCTTTGACTTTCTGGGGCGGGTGCTCTGACTTGCACTAGCTCTAGAGGCACGGAGCGTCATGGACTACGTCATGTTCTAGACCCTTTTGATCCGACGGGCGAGACCCTGACTTCCGGTTCCAATCCCACCATCCGTTTATTTGGTGACTTAGAATGTGGGGGTCGGCATTTAATGTGATGGCAATCATTCCCATCCCCATGCATGGAGAGCCGAATAAGAATCATTGACAAGGCAAATCGGTGATCATACGATGGTCAAAGATGATTCATTACCTTAGATCGTGATATACAATAGTACAATACACAGCCTTTCCTCTGTTCCCCTCCGATTCTGTGCAGTTGTCTTGTGTGTCTCTACGTCATACAATCGTTGTAGGATTCCCATCTCAACTCAAATCCACCTCGATGTCACTTTAAACATGGACCCTGGTTTTGCCCGGAACATCCAAGAAAATGTGGCTTTCATATGTCATTGAAAGCCTTTCTCTTGGTCAACTCGAGATCACAGCTTGATCAAGTTGGAATTCTTGGTTCTTTGTTGGTTTGATCTCAGTCAACATGCGAGTCTTTCACTGCTGTGCTCTCACTGCCCAGAGAGTGTTTTCATCATTTCATTCACGTTCTGGAAATTCAGCATTGTACATTTTCTTATCCATCGGGATTCGTGCTAATTATATGATAACAGGACTAAACCGAGTCTATCACGCCGTAGCCGTCACAGTCGAGTCCAGCCTAGTTCAGGCCCATTCCTTTCCGATCGATATACCTCGTCGATTCTATACCTTCTTCGAAGACGATACACGATACAGTCTTTATATCTATATGAAGTTGTATTGGTGTGGATGTGTTGGTTGCTCTCATTGGAACCAATTATTTGTTGCTGGGCTCATTGGTTGCTCCAACAAGTCTATCCTTCTGCATTTCGTTCACCACACAACTACCAAGATTACTGCACGCCCATCACTATTTATTATAGTTCATCAAGTGATGTATGACATGGAGTTTATCGAACGAAGCCGTCTTGAGAAATATGGCCTGCCAGTTACATTCATCATGAGATCTACGAAAGCCATTGCTCGGAGACATGAGCTTGGCAGCGGTCCGATTGCTTCTTCGTTTTTTTCATCCTATTTTATTTCCAGGCGTGAAAGCTCCCTGTTCTGAATGCCGTGGTTTTTTGAAACGCGGTCTAAGTAGACCTGTCCACGCCTGATTGTTGTTCCGCTATTGGTGGTCGAGTCATCGAAGTGTAGTTGAATTACACATGGGGAAGACTGCAGGTATCCAAGAGACTTTTTTTCTGATATTTATGTCTTTCATAGTGTTCATCATACAATTTAAATCCACCTTATTATACGATTCCCCAGATATTCAGCCAGACAACCAGATCCTGGTGTTCATGCCATGGAAGCTGTTATTTTGTGTCCCTAGTCCCCAATCTCTTTGACTTGATGTCTACTCTCTTCAATTGATGTCCTCGGGTGTTGGTTTTGGTGTCGAGTCATTCTGCTTTTTTTTTTACTATCCAAAGTACCTATGATTTGGCTGTTTACTCTCGGTGCTGCTGGTATTAGATAGTCTCTCCTTGAACACAGTATTGTGTTTAGTTTAGCCCCAATACTGACAATGATGTCTTCTCTCCATTCTATGAATATTTTATTAGTATTTTTGCAATTCATAACTCTTGACGTTGAGTTTTTTTCTTTTACTTTCTGTAGAAGAGTAGTATGACTCTTGGCTTTGTTATGTCTGTTACATTACTTTAACGTGATGGTGAAGCACCAGTACGGTAAAGTAGCAGTTGCAACATCACGGAAACAATTTGATGCCTGTATAAATATAATTTATCATTTTTCGAAACCTTTTGATTAATTGCGTGTATTATAATGCAGACTATAAACTACAATCTTCAAGGTTTCCAGTCGTAAAGGGGAGTACGGTGTAGGGTAAGGCGAACGTCATTATGTCAGCAGTCATCCATCATGCATGGACCACCTTTGACAACTTGGTAGGCTTCTATCGCGTATCCTTTTTTGTATCGAACATGAAATGGAAAACAGAGAATAAACTACTCAATAAATCGCCGACATCTGCTGCTTCGAGAATATCGAGAAATTCTGATGGCTCCTGGTAATACTGAGAAATATCCGTGATTAAAAAGGACCAAGATCCGATTGTGCAATTGTTATGTCCTCACGTGGCTGGTATCCCCTGGAACCTTCCACCACAATCCAGCAGTTTCTTGTAAGTGCGAGTAGCCAACCGAGTTGGCGATGCCTCGCTTATTCGTATGATTTGAGTTCAACATTACGTAGAAATCATCGCCTGGCTTCTTTGTCAAATTTCTATGCCCCTCTTTTGCATTCGTGTAATTTCTAGAACCTCCAAGTGGCAGGTTTTATCGATCTTTCGCGAAAGGCAAGGAAGGTCCATATCCCCATCACATTTTCCACATCATCAAGTATAAAGCAAGCCGTCTCTTCCCCCAAAGCTGGACTTTACTCTTCACCAGATCAGACACAAACAAGCACAAGAAAACAACACTCGCAACAACCACCACTTTAAAACTCATTCTCAAATACTATCAACCTGAAACACTTCACTTCCAAATCCATCACCAACACAACAAACACAATGGCTTTCTTCCCCCGCAACTTCTACAACTCCGACGCTTCCTTCACCCCTCTCTTCCGCCTCCTTGACGACTACGACAGCTACTCTCGCCAGGGAACCAACGGAAATGGCACTCGTCGCAGCGGCCTTAGCCACTGGCAGCCCAAGTTCGATGTCCGCGAGACTGGAGAGTCCTACGAGCTTCATGGCGAACTCCCTGGTATGAAGAAGTCTGATGTTCACATCGAGTTCACCGAGCCTCAGACTATGCTCATCCGCGGCAAGACCGAGCGCACTTACACTGCCGGCACACCTCCCGCTGGCCTCGTCGAGGACACTGAAGCCCGAGGCGCTATCACCGACAACAACGAGGAACACAACAACTCCCACCACGCCACTGTCGAAGATGAGGAGCAGGCCAAGGCTCACGAGACCAGCACTGAGGTCACTCACCACAAAAAGCCCCAGGAGGTTGAGAAGAAGCCTGCCGACCAGTCCAAGTACTGGCTCACCGAGCGCAGCTTCGGCGAGTTCTCTCGCAGCTTCAACTTTCCTACTCGTGTAGACCAGGACAACGTCTCTGCTAAATTCAACGATGGTATCCTGAGCATCGTTGTCCCCAAGGCCAAGAAGCACGAGTCTCGACGCATCAGCGTTGAGTAAACTCGGCCACACAACAATCAACACATCATAGATCTCGACAAAGCTCACTATATCGAAGGCCCCTACTTATCGGGATCACTAATGAATCATTTTTACGACTTTAACTTGCATGGAAGGGTGTTTTGGAAGTTTTAGCATGTTCACTATAGGCCAATTTGGCCGTTCGCTCCCTGTACAGTAGCAAATAATTCAACCAAATAACAAACAATGTTTTCAAGTTCCCTCAAAACAGTGACATACGAAATTGATTCCTAAGCACAATTATTATTAATGAGCTCACAAGTTATCAATGCTGCTCCCTCCCTCCATCACTTAACCATTTCCTTCTACAAATGAGCAGCCTGGGGATGTGGGTCATTGTAGAGTCACCAACACGTGACTTGGCGTACAATGGTGGCGCTGTTGCCTCCCACTAGACGCGTTCCACCGCGCTCTCACTTAACTCCCCCCCTTCTTTTGCCTCTGGATTAATTTTTCTCATCCTCTTCACCCCAAACCTGACAGTGAATCATTTCTTTTTGTTACCTCCACCTGGGAGAAGACACTTGGAGTCAAAATGAGTCAGGAATACGACGAGGCTCAAATGGGCGAGGAAGGCGGCATGCCCGGCCCTGGTGCCCCAACACCACTGTTCGCTCTTGAGGTATGTTTCCTGTGTAGTGAAGCACAGCTGCGCTGTAGGCTGACATTGGTGATTTTAAGGGGATTGCTGGCTTGACAAAGCGAGACATTCAGCTTGTTGTTGATGGAGGCTACAATACCGTGGAGTCTGTGGCTTACACACCACGACGAGTGCTGGAACAGATCAAGGGTATCTCTGAGCAGAAGGCCACCAAAATCCTCGCTGAAGGTACGTGAAACGAATTCGCTACTAAACTTTTTACTAATGATAGAACAGCTTCCAAACTTGTTCCAATGGGATTTACTACCGCCACAGAGATGCACCAACGCCGCAGCGAACTCATCTCCATCACCACAGGATCCAAGAACCTTGATACACTTCTTGCAGGTGGCATCGAAACTGGCTCAGTCACGGAGCTGTTTGGCGAATTCAGAACAGGAAAAAGTCAAATTTGTCATACACTCGCTGTAACCTGTCAATTGCCCTTTGACATGGGCGGTGGCGAGGGAAAGTGCATGTATATTGATACTGAAGGCACATTTCGACCTGTTCGATTGCTAGGAGTGGCCAACCGATTTGGTCTTTCAGGCGAAGAAGTCCTGGACAATGTTGCATACGCCCGCGCTTACAACTCTGATCATCAACTTCAATTACTCAACCAGGCTGCCGCAATGATGTGTGAGACCCGGTTCTCCCTACTGATCGTTGACAGCGCCACATCACTGTACAGAACGGACTTTTGTGGTCGTGGTGAGCTCTCAAATCGACAGACTCATTTGGCCAAGTTTATGAGGACACTTCAGCGGCTGGCAGATGAATTCGGTATTGCGGTGGTCATTACAAATCAAGTCGTGGCTCAAGTCGACGGCGGTCCAAGCGCCATGTTCAACCCCGACCCAAAGAAACCTATTGGTGGTAACATTATTGCTCACGCTAGTACGACAAGAATCAGTCTCAAGAAGGGTCGAGCTGAGACTCGTATCGCCAAAATCTACGACAGCCCTTGCCTGCCAGAGAGTGATACCCTATTTGCCATTGGCGAGGAAGGTATTGGCGACCCAGCCCCCAAGGACACGGAGAAGGATTAATCATGATGGACTATTTTATATTTGTACAAGCGCTGGAGTATATGGTGATGATTATTTGCATGATCTTGTTGGCGCAGATTCCAATGGCTGTTTCCTGGAGTGGCATTTTTGGAATGGGACGGCGCTGTTCTCGAAATGTGTATGGGCTACGAAAATGATAAATTAATGTAGTATTGAGTCTTTTCAATCCAAATAACTGCCACAATGCTTCTTTCCATATGTAATAAACCAAAGGGATTCTTCTGTTGTTAATATTTGATAATGATTCGTGACTGAGTGAGCCAGAGCTGGTTGCCTTTTTCGGTTAGCGTGGTCGCGATAACGAGTTCCACCTCAGAAATTCTGCTAGGCAACGCGACCGCACTTCGCTCGCCAGAGTCTAACACTTTGCGACCATCACATTAACGACATCGCCCAGCCCACGACACCATCTCGTCACAATCGATCCGATTTATGGGGGCGAAATGGATTCAGGCGATACCCAATATGTCTTCAAAGAGACACGAGTAAACCTCGACCCTCCAACGACGTCCTCTGTTGTTACGATCCGAGTACCCTCAAACTCGATACATGGCCGAAATCATCGCAAAGCGACAGGAGAGAACAGTTTGGAGGATGAGACGTCGTTTCGAGTGAAGAACTTGGCCAGTTCTTCATCCATCTACCACCGAATTTGGCACGACACACCGCGTAGTTTCCTCTGGCGAATTCTCGAGGACGGTACACTACTCAGCATTCGGGCTGTCGATGTTTGCAAGAAAACACAAGCCGCCGAGTTTCCTCTGTCCCTGAACTTTCACTTTTCCGTCCCAATTCAGCCAGGATGTGTGGCATTCTCGGACCACGAAGAACACGACTCGCTTTGTGTTTTTGTTCTTGATCAGGCATACCAACTATACAGCTTCCATCTTCGACCGGATCTGTTCAGAAAAAGATCGGCCATCGATGCTGGGCTTTCTGATTTGGGCAAGGTCCAGGCGCCAGCGGGATTGGGTTTCAAGCATCCACACCGTATGGTTGCTGTGAACGCGGAGACACTACTAGTGACGGTGAACGATGGAGGAATGATCAGGCTGGATAAAACCAAGGCAAATGATCGTGAGTTATAGCGAGAGAGGGGAGGAACCGTATGCTAATATCTACAGTATCATCGAACGTCTGGAAGGAATCGTTCTTCAACGTGCAGGGATGGGCGCAGAACCTCCGAAGCCTTCTTCCCTTCCAGGGAAAGCACACAATCAAGCACGGCAAGACCAACATGGAGTACAGCTCGGCCACATCGATTCAAGTCACCAGCCTTGGATTAGAGGACTGTCTCTTCGCCATCACCGTCTGTCTCGACCACAGAATGCGAATTTGGAACATTAACGATGGCCAGATTCTGTACACAAGCGATATCCTTAACGCCGAGAGGAACCCCCAGGAGATTGGTAAATGGGCTATTGACCCATCACAAGCAAATCTTGTGCAGATTGTAGGCCGGAATCGTGGCAGTAGGGTTTGCGCAACGTTCTCGCCCATCGGCGCTGGAGAGTTCAAGTTCTGGAAGATCACAGCAAAGGATGCGTCCAGCGTCGTCGTTGAGGACATCTTCCCAAAGAACTCATTGATCCCGGTCACGCCATCTTCTTCCGACGTATGGACCCTCGCAGACTTTGTTCTATCCTGCCCCGCCGAGAGTGCTATCCAACTTTGGACCCTATGGAAGAACAACATGACATACAGGGTGCAGAGGCTTGAAGTGGATCGCAAGAATATCTCACAGAGCTGGCAGGATAACTGGGATGGCGTTTATGCAGACAACTTGATCCAGGCCGCCGATGGGTCTGGCCCTTCCGATCCAACAGATGTCACCGAGAAATGGCTTCAACTCATTTTGAAGCCCGGTCAATTTACGAAATCGACCCTCGAGGCAGCATTGTCTATCTATGAGCGAGGCTTTGGAAAATCAAAAGAGGTTGGAAAGGGTCGAGGGCTCGCCGAGGCGATCTGCTCGATATTGGGATCAACTGCAACACTAGATCGGGGTTCTTCGGGCACGATGGAATACGAAACCTTTCGCGCGTCGAGTGAGGCTCAGTGGTTGAGGTTCTACCGTCTATTGCTCGAATTGGATAAGCAACGAGGAGAAGCACTTGGACTAACCCTTGACCCTCACACAGGCCTGGCTTGGGTTGTCTGCGCCGACTTTCTTTCAGCCATCCGGGAATGCAGTAGCCTGGAGCGACTGTACTATAACTTATCCTCGCCCGAACAAGACCAGCTGACTCAAGCGGCCCTGATCGGATCGGGCTTGACATTTGTGGAAGGATTCCCAGAATATTTGATGCAATCTTGCCAGGCCACACTCCGACCTGAGCTGTTCGAAGATTCATCCAAGACTGATCTCGAACGTATTCAGTATTTCTCCGACAAGTCTGGCTTCTGGCGGGGAATTACTGATGAGGACTGCAACCAAGTTGTCGATGTCCTCGGTCAAAACTTCAGCACAGTAACGGACGACCTTTACACTGAGGTAATGAACCTCATTTCTGCACCTGAAGAGGCCAAAACACGTAATCTGCGCCAGCCTCTCACTGACTTTGGAAAGAAGCTGGTTGTGAAAGCTGTCCAAGATAGTATTGAGCTGCAGTGGAGGGTGTACTTCAGCCAGTTGATTCTTCTAGTCCACATGGAATTCGAGTTCGACAATGAGGCGGATATCCTTCATAACCGAGTTGACGTTGGCAATGTCTTTAGACAGCTTATTGCGGCTCTACGACGATTGGAGCTGTTGAAGTGGCTCGCCCAGACCGAACTCACATTGCCCAGCATCCGAGAAAAGAGCGAGAACGGCACCGTTTCGAGAAAAACTGTTGAAGATGCGCAGTGCGTAACAGCACTGGAAGCGAATGTTGGTCACCTACTTGGCTTCGCTGACAAGGGTGTACCCCTTGCTACTGACATTACTGACCTGGTCATCAACCTGTGTGCTCCCGATAGCGATATCGAGGTTTCCCCGTCATTGATCCAGTGCTTTCTCATCAAGCGGGAGAGGGCTGATCTGGCTCTGGATATTGCGCCTTTCTGCGACCAAAATCCTTTCTCAACATACGTTCAAGGTCGCCTGCAGCTGGCCTTGAAGGACTTTAATACCGCTGCTATTTATTTCAGAAAGGCAGCCATTGGGATGAGTGAGTCAACCACTGGTGCTGCGTTGATATCAGCTAACGATTTCTCAGGCACGGAAAACCTCGAAAGTGATCGCCATAGCAGCGGTTTGCTTGATGATACTGAGTGGAATCTGCTCAACCACGGCCCTGCAAAGTACTATTCGCACATCGTCGCCTTGTTCGAGAAGCAAAAGGCTTACTCTTACGTGATCGAGTTCGCTCGGCTCGCTATGCAATTTCTTGGCTCAAAGCAAGATGCCATGTTCACTAAGACTGACATGCAAAGCCGCTTGTTCAATGCTGCAGTCGCGACGTCTCAGTTTGAGCTCGCCCACACAACGCTTGTGTCAATCAAGGATCAGGCAATGAAGATCTCAAACCTGCGTAAGCTGGTCGACAGGATGTGTGCAACTTATCACAACATCGAGCTTGTGTCTATGCCATTCCCTGGTCTGCAACAGGAAGTCGATGACATCTTGTCACAGAAGACAAAGGCGACACTAGACGTTATAGAAGGATTCCCCTACCACCAGGTTCTCTACTCATGGCGAATCAAGCACAACAACTACCGCGGCGCTGCATCCGTCGTACTGGACCGAATTCACAAGCTACGAAGCGCTGGAGAAGGCGATGAGGCCACAGGAGAGGACATCCTTGATACTCCGGTGACCAGACAGTATCTCCTGCTCATCAACGCCCTCAGCTGTGTAGATTCCAAGCAGGCTTGGATTTATGATGAAGCCCCAGCTGGCTATGGCCAGAAAGATGCAGTGAAGCGTAATGTGGTTTCACTGGCGGATATCAGGAAGCAGTATCAGGATGAGCTGGATCGAATCACGGCGATTCACAACAACCAGTTCGGCTTTGAGGCGGACGACGTTATGGAAATTTCATGAGCGCAGAGTTAGGACAGGCCAGGCCACTTCATGTAGACTAGGGGTGTATTCTTTGAAAATTCGGAGGGGCGCGATACCTCGGACATGTCATACTTATTGGGAACCATCATCATATTGTGGAATTGATTAATTTGTTTCGAGGATGGTTTGGTTTTAAACGAAAAATAAAGAACTACAAATCTTCCATCATCTTGCTCTTCCCATCTTGAACCCGAAACGCCAGGACCGATGCTTAAAAGACGCGCATTAAGCTGATTGTGAATATACGTCAGACTAACAGCCAGGTTTTGTTTCTGTATTATGCCTGTGCGGTTACCGCCTTGTTCTCAGGTAGTGATGAGGTACCAGCGTTTAGAACGGGAGCCGCGTCAGGGGCTTGACGGTACAGAATAATCTCTGACTGCTTGAAGTATCGCCGAGCATCTGTGAATTGGTTAGTTGGGCGGGGTTTGAGATGGGGCGAGGCGAACTAGGGATTGACTGACCTTCGTCGATAAGGACTAAGCTGAGATAATAACGGGTGGAGAACTTCTTGTTGACGTCGCGGAAAGTGGGTGTCAGATCAAAACCTCCGAGGAACAGTCGGATAGGGATTGTCTCTCCTCGCGATGGCGAACCATCCATGATCTCGAAGCGCACCAACGTCTCGCTTTCGTTATACTGGTTAGGCGCGGCACCTGTTGTCTCTCTCCTGATGATGGACAGCTCCATGTGCTTGATTTTTAGGCGGACGAGCAGGAAATAAATGCGGCCGACAATAACATCCTTGAGATGGTACTTGCTCTTGCTGTACTCGAACTCAATATGCAGGCAGTCCTCGATACCAACATCCATCTTGATGCTGCTGTTCATCTCGGGAGGGATGCGATAGCTGTAAACCCAGATGTCCTTCTCGCGGATGACGTCGGCCATGCGGCGCGAAACTGTGACGCGGACGAAATAGCGCAGCTTGACGTTGATTCCATTGTATGATTCGTACTGCTTCTCGACGTTCTTGAAGTTGAAGTCGAAGGTCTGGGGGTGCTGAAGCTCGCCAGGCGCAGCAAGTTCTTGGTTCAGGGACAGAAATTCGTAATGGTTACCGCGGTCAAAGAACATCTCTATGCGACGCATCAATCAGTATCTTAAGTATTGGCGAATCGCATGGGAGCCTGGTGGTGTAAAGGGGTTGGTTGCGTACCTATCGTGCCGATAAATTGGACCTTGATACCAGTATGCTCGAGCCTCTTGCCATCCTTGGGACGAACAGTAACAGCGCCCTTGACAGACTCGCCATCCATAAAGAGGGGTGCCTTCTCGCGACGGTTCTTGTCGAGCTTAACATCAACCATGGAACGGTCATCGGTGTCGTCGAGGACAACGTCGATATCGACAGGAGTCGCGAAGAAGTACGACATGGCGGGCGAGTTGAAATTGACTCTTCTTGCCCTTTACCTTTGTTGTCAGGCGATGTCGTGAGGTAAGGCTGAGGCTGCTGGCGCGAGCTTCGCTTCGCTTGGTGATAGTGGGATGGCTGGGCTGGGCTGGTCTGAGCTGGGTTGTTGGTGAGAACGTCGGAGGTCGGCGGCGCTGACGTATCGGCCGGGGGAGACAGGGGACCGATCAAGACCCACCCGAGCTTGCCGTGAGATGAGACTTTGGTTAGAGAGTTACATAACTTTTGTTGGACGAATAGCTTGTGAAATGATGGCAGAACTATATGTTACTGATAATAAATTCGATAAGTAGTGCATCTACTTAGTACCTATTTACACAATGTACCTGCCCTTATATTCACGTCAGTTTACAGAAAACATCTTTGTTAAAGCCAAGTCTTGTTTATGGAGGCATTTAATTGGCTCATATCAGCTCTGAGAATATAAATTTTGAGTCACGTGCTAGGTCACGTCTTTTGGTGGGCAGCAAATTGCTAGTGCGGTCGGTTGCTCTTTCCCCACTATAATTGCCCTCACGTGGGAAAGAGCGAGCCCTACCTCTGGCACTTACCTGGAACTTTTCCTGCCCACAGATTCCCAAAAATTCGCGGACGGCTCTAGATACCCTCAACCCCCCGACATCAACACCACAGCCGGCAGGATGAAGTACATTCACTCCCAGGAGCTTCTCGAGATCCCCGAGGGGGGTACGTTGCGCCCGTTTTCCTTTTCTTCCTGATATGCTCGTCGCCGCCCGCTCGAATATCCCCGAAATCAAGGTTACTGGAGTTTTTGCCCGCGATTGAAGGCTGCGCACAAACGACGTCAAGACGAAATGCAATGCGTTCTCGCAGCGGAAGCTTCAGTATCATTTTTTCTCTCCGGGGGAGTTATTCACGGGCAGGGCCGAAAGTGATAGGAAATATTAACTCGCAAGATCCGAAATGCTGACTCGTCTCGTGTTTATAGTCAAGGTTGCCATTAAGTCGCGAATTGTCACTGTCGAGGGTCCCCGCGGCAAGCTGGTCAAGGATCTCAGCCACTTGGCCGTCAACTTCACCAGCACCAAGAAGAACCAGATCTCCATCGAGATCCACCACGGTGTCCGCAAGAACGTCGCTACCCTCCGAACTGTCCGAACCCTTATCAACAACCTGATCATTGGTGTCACCAAGGGCTTCAAGTACAAGATGCGATACGTCTACGCCCATTTCCCCATCAACGTCAACGTCTCCCAGAACTCCGAGACCGACTTGTACGAGGTTGAGATCCGAAACTTCATCGGCGAGAAGCTCGTCCGCCGAATTGTCATGCACCCCGGTGTTGATGTTGAGGCTTCCACCACCCAGAAGGATGAGCTTGTCCTCTCTGGTAACTCTCTTGAGAACGTTTCGCAAAGTGCTGCCGATATCCAGCAGATCTGCCGGGTGCGAAACAAGGATATCCGAAAGGTAAGACGACTTGCTCAACGCTTGGTTTTGTAAAGTGAACATGCTAACCCTGTCACTTTTAGTTCTTGGATGGTCTGTACGTCTCCGAGAAGGGCAACGTTGTCCAGGATGAATAAACGCGAACACGGACACGGATCTTGTTTCTTTTGCGTTTCTGGGTCTCAGGAGTGGCGAAGGTTCATCTTGCATGTCATGTAGCAAAAAGAAAGGGCTACAAAACAAATTTCAAAAAGCAAAGAGATGATGACTCTGGTGCCGACCAAACACTTGAATCTCGCCAGCGAATCGTGTATGTGACCATTTAAGGAGCGAAAAGGGCCGGCTTTAGACGAGGGTTCTGGGGGTTTTGCGATAAGACAAAAAAAAAAGGCGTTTTTAATCATTCCATTGCGCACAACCTGCCTCGGAACATCAACCATTCCGGTCCATTGTGAGGTCTGAGAAGTGAATTCGATCAATGATGAGACGAGTTAATGCAGCACAAACCTCAGTCACTCATAGCACGGCACTAGGGATTCACACAAATGGTACTTTGGGTCGAAAATTGCATGTGAAAAAAAATCTAGGCTCGTATTTCCATCAAGACGTGCCTCATGACAAGTATATTCATTTTTTATATCAAACTCGTACGTTTCCTTGTTGGTCTTCATAACCAGTCATTTCTCTTCTAAACCTTCCTTGCGTGACGTTATCTCTTTGAAAATAAACAATACAAAACGACATTAACCATCCGTAAATGCGTGAGTAACATAAAAATGTCAGTGATGAAAATGGAGTGGGTGGATGAGGGGAAAGTCAAATAAGACGGTGTAAAAAAAACAAGGTGGAGAAAAGGCCATTATTCGAGTAACCAGAAACGCCAGCAGCCTTATGATCAAAAGCACGAGTCGAGCAGAGAAAACATGCGAGCTCGAATCCCTCATGTCAGATGAGGAGGCATGTACAAAATAGTGTGTATATGTGAGACGAATGGGATAAAATGGGCGAGAAACGGGGATTTAAACGTTTCATCGCCTGCTGTCACGAGAGTAGTGCGACCTTGCTCGACTGCCTGCTCGACTGTCTCTCGCCGTGCGACGAGTGCGGTTTGTTCGTCCACCGGAACTTGAGCTGCCTGCTGTTACAGTTAGTACGAGGAAGCTATCGTAAATGTGTCACATGGGGGACTTACTGGGACTGGTGTAGTCACTGTATGAGTAGTAAGAATCGCTGTATCGCGATCGCGAGGATCCGCGGGATGATCGCGCTGGCTTGGTGCTCGCAGGCCTCTTGTCCTTCTTAAGGTTGAGGAGAGCCAGGAGCGTGGCCGCGAGACCAGCGATACCGAGCCACTTCTTGCCATCGGACTTCTTCTCACGGCGATCACCGGCAGAAGAAGGGGAACCGCCCTTTTTACCGCCGAAACCAAACCAACCCTTGTGTCGCGGTCGGCGGGAGTGGGCAGAGGCAGAAGCAGGGGGTCGGCTTCCGTGTCGAGAGTATCGCTCTTCGTAGACGTCGACTCGCTCGCGGCTTTCCTTGTCCTTGTCCTTCTTGCCAAAGAGGGCGACCCAGAGTCCGCGGGCAATGCAACAGAAGCAGAGAAGCAGGAGCAGTGCTACACCGGCGATAACACCAATGATGATACCAGCAATAGCACCGGCACTCAAACCTCCGCCGCCAGTACCGCTCTCGCCAGCGGCAGCCTCATCACTCGTTTCAGTGGCTGTGGCTTCTGCGTCGGTCTCAGTCGCAGTACCAGACTCGCTCTCAGTAGGTGCGCCGCTGTTGACGATGGTGGTGGTACCAGTGACTCGGTAGGGAGCCGAGTATTGGGTGGTGAGCTTTCCATCGCTAGTGATGACAACGGCGGTGGGCGCATCGTAACCAGGCTTTGCCGAGCACTGACCCTTGTAGGCGCAAGTCTGCCAGCCAGCGCAGCAGATCTCACCGCATTGCTCCTGCTCGTCATTCTTGGGAACACAATCAACGCCCTTGGTTGGTTCTGGTGCAGGTTCCCAACGGGTCATGAGTGTGCTGGTGTAAGTCCTGGTCTCTGTCCAGGTGGTGGTATAGTCGCCAACCCAGCCTCCCTTCGCAGCGACACATTTTGCGACTCCGTCGGAGGTCTCGCAGGTCTCGCCAGAGCCGCAGCAGTATTGATTGTCGGAACCGCAGTATGAGTCACAGTCTCGGCGCATGAGGTATGAGTAGCCAGCATCATGGAGACTATCTCTAGGTAGCGGGCCAGCAGAGCAAAGAGCTGCGGCAGCGAGAAGCAGCAGAGGCTGCGTCACTGAACGCATTGTAGCGGTTTTTGCTGGGTGGTGATCGTCGCTGTTTTGAAGTATTGAGACTGGCGCAGTGCCGAAGTCGGAATACGTTGTTTGAATCCAATACCAGTCAAAGGTTGTGCTTGTTTCGAATTGAGTTGAGGGCACAACGTTGTGGTGAGCTTTTTTCTGATAAAAGCCGAAAGTAGTTGCGAGATTTTACTGAGCTTCTTTCTGTGTGAGACAACTGAGGAATGCGGTAGAAGCGGTTGTAGCGGGGTGAGCGTTTTGGTGCCCGAGACTTTTGCGTTCAACTATAATAAATGGAGGTGAGAGCGAAAGTGAAGTTGAAGGTTTTTGTGAGAGATGAGATGAGGTGAGATGAGAGAAAGAAAGTATCTCAAGTTCTCAGTGAGCGAAAGGGTTAGTGAGTCAGTCGATTACAAGCAGGAAAAATGGAAAGAGACAAGAAACGGTAACTTTGAGTTCTGGGCGCTGCACCAAGAGTTTTAAGCAGCTGGTGGTGGGCAGCGACGAAGGCCTCTCTTGCGTCCCAACCTCCTACTTAGACCTTGGGACTTATACCAGCCTCTTTGATTTTCCTAGATGGGGAACTTGATACAGGCAGAAGAAGGGGACCTGATCCACACGACGACGAATCAGTTCAAACTCGATGCAACGGTTTTCTCTAGGGAGGAAAAGACTCAGCTCTTTTGGTTGTTTTGCGGTCAATTCATTCTTTGCTATCGGTCAAGATGCGGACTTGGTGTTGGACAGCAGGCGAGCGATGCAATGCACCTCACTCCATGGCGGGGTTGCCAGCTCATAATACCTCCTCCATACGCCGACAGTGCTCGCTCACTGGACAACGACCGATCGATAGCAGCCCAAGTCCCCTGTAATACATCCAGTTCGGCCCTGGAGCTAATAGTCCACCTGCAGATTTAGGCCACACCGGATGAATGTCATCACCACTTACACGCCCAGGGCCACCCCGGAATAGATCGCGACTCAATCAGGGCAGCCGAGCGATTCTTTTTGCATGATGCAGATTTTAATTAAACTGGTCAGGGGCAAAGGACTCTGGTTAATTCGTCTTATTGGCGCTTTGCTAAAGTGCTGTGACCATTCGACAGGGAAACGAAACTCGGAGGCTGGGAGCGCGTTTTCAGGGATTAATTCCACGTCGGTCTGGACTTGGGCACTTAGTGGTGTCGTCAGGTTGGGGAACTTGGCCTTGGAGAAGACCAGGACCAGGACCAGGACCAGGAAGATTTGGGCAGCCACATGTCGAGCGCCACACCACATGGAGCTTCAAGGTGTGGCACGCTTAGTGTGGCTACCCGACAAGCTCCAAGGTGCTAGACTTGGAAGCTTGCTGCTATGCCCTGTGACGCTCCGCGCGGTTCAAGTTGGTTGCATCACCAACGACCTCATCTCATCAGCTCTCCATCCCCCTCCATCGCTGTTTCCCTCCTTCCGACCCCGCATCCTAGAATTAACCCACCTGGTTCATACTTTTAACGATCCGCTCGCTGCTCGCAGCTGCGACGCTGTAATCATGTCCCTCGACCCGCCGACGTACCTGGCCTCTCTTCAGAGCAACATCCGTCAGCGACCTATTCCCTGGGACGGTGCTGTCAGGGCCGGCACCCTCACCGAAGAGCAGTATGCGAAAATCCGAGTTGTAGATAAGGCAAAGAAGCCCGAGCAAAGAAAGGAGATTGTTTCAGGAGACATTGATGGATACCGCGTCTTATTTGTTGGCGATGAAGGAAAGACCAGTGTCCTCGAGACGGCAGGAAAGCATGCGAACGTGATCCAGTACATCCTCGTTTTACTTGGCGACCTTCTTGAGGGTAAGAGCGATCTCTCGGAATGTTTACGGTATACGGAAGTAGTGATGCAAACACATCCATTTCCTCAGCCGCATGTTCGTCATACCAGATCGCCAAAGCTAACATGACCTTTTCGCACAGCTGTTCCATCCCTAGCCAAGGCTCTCTTCAAGACAAAGGAACCTTACCGACATTTTTTGCCTCTACTTAACTCGACCAATGCCGAGGATCCTATTCCATTGCTTACAGCGCATGCGCTTACCACTCTCATGGCTCTTGCTCGAGATGAGTCGCGATCGACACTCCAGGCTTTGCCTGTGATCTTCACCTACCTCTCCGGCTTGGCCAAGAGCAATGATGCTGGTCTACAAGATATTGCTGTGCAAGAATACTCCGGTCTCCTCTTTGGACATGCCGCGAGGGAGCAGTTTTGGAACCAACAAAGCGAGACAATTGCGCCTCTTATCAAGATCCTCCAGACCGCTGCCAATATTGGAAACGGTGGGAGCTCTTCTGCTAGTCTCTGGAGCGGCAACACAGGCACCCCATCTTCTGGCTTTGGAGGCTCCCTGGGTGGAGGTGTTGGACTTCAGCTTCTCTACCACGCCCTCCTTGTTATCTGGCAGATAAGCTTCGAATCTGAGGAGATTGGTGATGACCTTAATGAGTAAGTGCTTGCGAATGCGATAAATGACGCACAACTAACACTGCGCAGCGAGTACGATATCGTTCTGCTTTATACTCATCTTCTACGACTATCCCCCAAGGAGAAGACGACTCGGTTGATTCTTTCCACACTCTACAACCTCCTCGACAAGAACCAAAAATCACTTCTGCCCACCGCAGTTCTAGCTCGCCTTCCTGCTCTCCTCGAGAACATCAGCGGCCGCCACTTGACTGACCCTGACCTACTGGAGGATCTGTCCAAGCTCAAGGAAATGCTCGAGGAATACACCAAGACCAAGACTACTTTCGACGAGTATATTGCCGAGGTTCAATCTGGCCATCTTAGATGGTCACCCCCTCACCGAAACACAGTCTTTTGGGCTGAGAATGCCCGCAAGATTCTCGAGTTCGAGAACGGAACGATTCCACGAAAGCTGGCCGAGATTATGCAACAGCCCTGGGACAACGACAAGCAGGTTCTCGCCATTGCCTGTAACGATGTTGGATGTCTGGTTAAGGAGGTTCCTGAGAAGAGATACCAGCTAGAGAAGGTGGGCCTCAAGAGAAGGATCATGGAGCTCATGCAGTCAGATGATGAGAACGTACGATGGGAGAGTCTACGAGCGTTGGGAGGCTGGTTGAAGTACAGTTTTGAGCAACAGTAAAGGAGACTGGTACGAAAGTCTAGAAGGTTTTTTTGTCTCTCGTAGCATCTTGTTTACGACAGAAGCGACTTGACGCCGTCAAGTAAGGGTCAGAAGAGCAAAGCAGGTCAGTTCCAAGTTGGCGAGCTTAGAGGGTCACGCTAGACAACGAGCTGCGGAAGAGAAGCATCAGCTTGTAATGGCATACTTTTGAGTTATTGGTAGTCACAGCACTTCAGCTACTACATCGTGCGTAAGAATGAAGCTTTTAACACATGAAAGTTTGATTTCCGTTGGGTGTTATCGCTTATAACATCATGATGTGAATTTGCCGCGGTGGATTTATTTCCCCAAGTCCAGGTCCATAAGTTTCTATGTCCCTCATTGTCGGGCCTCGGAGGGCGTTCCGGGGGGTCCGGGGTCGGTTTTCGGAGGTGCAGGCCGTGGTGACTCGGTGACAACCCCACCAGAGTCAAACAGTCAATTGGCTTACTTGGTTTGGGTGACTTGCATGATAAGTAAAGTGAATGGACTGTCTGTACTGTACTCATCTTTAAGCGCCCTCCTTCGGCTGTTTTAGTAGTTTAAACTTGTTCTAAAGACTTCTTCTCTTTCTTCTTCTTCACTTTCTGTTCACTGATCAGTTGGCTCTCCTCCTCCTCACTTACACTTAATTCCATCAATTGAATACATCATGAAGAGCCTCAGCTTAGCTGCGAGGGCTAGTCCCCGTATTCTATCATCTACCACCGCGCGTCCTACGTCACTTACGGCCCTGAGAGTGTCGCAACAGAGCGTGCGATGCGCTTCTGGGGGCTCCTCTTCTGATCTCAAGAAGACTCCTCTATACGATTTCCACATCGCCAATGGTGGAAAGTTGGTTCCCTTTGCTGGCTACTCACTTCCCGTGCAATACTCGGGCCTCTCGCTCGCTCAATCTCACCACTTCACCCGCGAGCATGCCTCTCTCTTTGATGTGAGCCACATGGTTCAGCACATCTTTAAGGGCAAGGACGCAGCTGCTTTTCTGGAGCAAGTGACACCCTCGGATTGGACAAACCAGGGTAGCATGCAGAGCAAGCTGACGACTTTCCTGTGGCCTGGTACTGGAGGTATTGTGGACGACTCGGTTGTCACCAGAATTGGCGAGGATACTTATTACGTTGTTACCAACGGCGCCTGTCTCGATAAGGACACCAAGTACATTGATGAGCAACTTGGCAAGTTTGGCGGCGATATCCAGTGGACTCGTCTCGACAACTCTGGCCTCGTTGCCCTGCAGGGTCCCCAGAGTGCTGAGGTTCTCAGCGAGGTCCTCGCCAGCGACGTTGATCTCACAAAGCTCTACTTTGGCAACGCTGTCTGGGCTGAGCTGAAGCTCTCTGACGGCAGCAAGACTCACCCCGTCCTCATCAGCCGTGGTGGATACACAGGAGAGGATGGTTTCGAGATCTCTTTCAACGGCAAGGATTACCCTGCCTTTGAGACAACGACGCCTGCTATCCAGACTCTTCTCAGCAAGGCTGGCCCTGAGCGCCTGCAGCTCGCTGGTCTCGGTGCCCGTGACTCTCTACGTCTCGAGGCTGGCATGTGTCTTTACGGCCACGACCTTGACGACACCACAACGCCAGTCGAGGCCGGTCTGAGCTGGATCATTCCCCCTGCCCGCCGTGAATCCGGTGGTTTCCACGGTGCGGAAACAATCATCCCCCAACTTACACCAAAGAGCAAGGGCGGGTCTGGAGTCGAGCGCCGCCGCATCGGCCTCTACGTTGACGGAGCTCCCGCTCGAGAGGGCGCCGAAATCCACAAGGACGGCGAGAAGATCGGAGTCATCACCAGTGGCGTGCCCAGCCCTACGCTTGGCAAGAACATCGCTATGGGCTACATCAAGAGCGGTAACCAAAAGGTTGGCACCGAGGTGGACGTTGTTGTCCGAGGAAAGGCACGCAAGGGCACTGTGGCCAAGATGCCTTTCATCCAAACCAAGTACTGGAAGGGCACTGCGCCTGCTTAAAAGGGGAGAAAACGTGTTGATGCGTCAAAGCGAGTTAAATGATTAAATGCGTGGATGATATCTGGGGAACGAATTCAACATGGGACACTATGGAGTCTATTGATTATGAATATCTTATTATTATTAGTTTAACACGTTTGGAATAGAGTTCATGAAGAATTAAACATTTTTTTTAATATGGGATATTTCCCATATCTTGACACCTACATACCTGGTTGGTAATTTCTTGTGATTAGTCTAGTCCCGGAATTTGGTCCTGGTCTCGGCATTTGACATGTCCCTCGGAATCCGGTGATGGTATGCCAGTTCCTCGGCGTCTGCGACGGCATGTAGACGGAATCCGTGGCTCGGAGACTCATGTCTCAACTTGATGAAGCCCTTTTGGCTCTCCTTCGTGGACTCAATTATCCCAGTCATATACATCCTTACGGCATATGCGACGAAAGGAAACATGTCAGTCCAAACAGAAGTGACCATGGCCTCCAGCAACAATATACTGAGCAGGCTTGATGACACAGAAAGGACCGTTGTCTAGACTTGTGACTGGACGCCCTTAGGCTTTAATGGACCGTAGCTCTACGACAAAACATCACAAATATTGAAGGAAAGGTATGTAGCCACCAAAAAAACCATAGGAAACCACCACACAAAAGCGTATGGCCTCCCTCAAACAAGCGGCAATATAGTCTAGCAACGGTCTCCCCTTCAATGATGACCACCCGTTGAGGAGACTGAGGTGGTCGAGACGCCAATTTTGGATGTTATCGGCGCCGTCGAGGAGACGATGTTGCGTGAAGAGAAAGGAAAAGAAAAGAAAAATCGAGGCAGAATTTTTGCATACCTTATGTACTAAACTTAGCGGCGGCTGGGGGCTTAGCGAGATCCGCGTGCTTACCTGAGTTAGTGCTTTAGTGGGGGCATAAAGTGCCAGAGTGTCTACCCTAAACTTGGGGATGAGATTGTATATTGGTTGCGTGTTCTAGACATGAGGATAAAAAAAGATGGTGTGTTATTCTAGAAGGCTCACGCGAGCTGGTCTTTTTCTCTTCTTGTGTACGTGTATTTCTTACCTCTGTCAGACAAAGGATTACTGCATACTAAGAAAGTCATGCTGTTGTTCTAGCCAGTGAGCACATTGGACCAGCATCACGAGTTCAGTTTTGCGGAGAGATTTAAATATATCTCAAAGTGTATGCATGAAGACAGTTCTGGAGACATAGCAAGACAACATCTATAGTAGTAAGAGTGGTCAGTATATACGCTTCTACTAGGTAATGAGTATGTGAACGAGCTCGGCCAACTGTCCAAGGAGCTATCAAGAGTCTCTTCATCGTGGACTTCTATCTGGCGTAACTAATAACTAATAGACACATGGATCTTTCTACAAGTCTTCATATCCCTAGTCAGAGACGAGATTATGTGCATAAATAACTCTATGAAACTGGTCATGATAGAACGTCCACGAGGTACAGAAACGGGTCTCACGCGGTCCCGCAAAATGGACTCGGCTATCCAGTCAGCTCAAGCCTTGAGGATTTGCAGAAAGAACCCTGATGGCATGCATGGCGCATGGCTCTCCTTTGTCGTCTGCATGCTGCTCTGCTCCATTGTACCTGTCCACTTGCATTACGTATATACTCGATCCAAGGCTGCATTTAGGACCCTGAATTGTAGTCGAGACGAGATGAGAATTGCAGTTATATAGAACAAAGAAAATATCAGTATTAAGAAGAAAATAAATAATATAATTATAGCATGCGGTCATCAACTAGGTATTGCTATATCACGTTACAGAATTATAGATGTATATCAAACGTTAAGTGCTGTTTCGGTGTTGATCTGTTCCTTCCAATCGTCCATTCTCTTGTACTACACGTGTAGCCCCTGCCACCCAAGATTGGACGAATTTTGACATCACCAGGCGTCTCAATGTTGAACACACGACAACAGAGGAAAAAACACATGCAATAAAATGGAAATTCATTGAATCCCATTGTTGTTCTTGCTGAATCTCAGTCCTAATATTTAAACTTCCCTTCCCTCGCCTCTTGCCTGCCATGGTACGCACACTCGGTCAGCCTGTCTTGGCGTCTCGATCCCATAGGTAGTGGATCCTCATATATTAATCATAGCTCAGGTAGGTTGGCTGGTCTGGTTTTCTTGAAATTAGTTCCTTCATTGTCTTCTTTTTACTTCTTCGTCATCATTCTCCTGCTTTACCAGATACAAAAGGTTTTATATACATCAATTAACGCGTCTAATAGCAGGACCCGACCGCGTCTTTATTGCTTCAGCAGGGTTCACTTTAAAGTTGACAAGATTTGACTCAGGAATGACCTCACACCCTTAACCGTTACCGTTACCACACTTCACATCCATCAGCCTCACTTTTAGTCTGGTCTCTACATCGAATCTCAACCAAAAGCCTTCGAATTCTACACGCGACATACAAAAATTGAGAGTACGACTGAGTGAGCACTCAGAATGACACCCACAGGCGCCCGACTGCTCGTGGCAGCCGCCCTACTCTTCCCTAGCGTCTCTCCATCGCCAATTTTTGACGCTGGGCAAAAAGTTCTTGATGCCATCACAGGGGCACGCGATTCTATAACAACCACACCGCATGTTCAACAACCAAGTCGCAAGTTGAATGGAAAATTTCTGCATATAACAGGTACGTCACAAACCGCCGAAACAAGCTTTGGGGCACTGCATACACATCGGACGAATTGCTGGTACCCCAACGTTGTGTTCACTGCAGCCAAGCCCACTTACTGACAGCTACAACCCTAGATTTCCACCCCGATGAATTCTACAAGGCGCATGCATCCACAGCCCAAGGCATTGCCTGCCACCGCGGAGAGGGACCTGCTGGCCTATATGGCGCTGAAACTACCGATTGCGACTCTCCACTCGAACTCGTCAATGCAACACTTGACTGGATACGGACTCACGTAAAGGACGACATCGACTTTGTTGTGTGGACTGGCGATACCGCGCGCCATGATAGCGATGAGAAGCGACCAAGAAGCGCCAGCCAGGTGCTGGACATGAATAGAAGAGTCGCCAAAAAGGTCGTCAAGACATTCTCCGATGATGGTGCGCTGACCATTCCTGTTATTCCGACCTTTGGCAACAACGATTTTCTTCCACACAACATTTTCTATCCAGGACCAAATAAATGGCTACAGGCCTACAGCAGTATATGGCGTCGCTTCATCCCTGAAGAGCAGCGCCACTCTTTTGGCTTTGGTGGCTGGTTTGAGGTCGAAGTTATTCCTAATAAGCTGTCTGTTATCAGCCTCAACACTATGTACTTCTTTGATCGAAATGCTGGAGTTGATGGCTGCGCTATTCCCTCGGAGCCTGGGTTCAAGCACATGGAATGGCTAAGCGTTCAGCTGCAACGTCTGCGTGAACGTGGAATGAAAGCTATTCTGGTTGGCCATGTCCCCCCTGCTCGAACACGGAACAAGCAAAACTGGGATGAAACCTGCTGGCAGAAGTACACACTATGGCTCAAGCAGTACCGCGACGTCGTCACAGGCTCTGTCTACGGACATATGAACATCGACCACTTTCTATTTCAAGATACAAATGATATCGATCTGAGCCTCTATGACAAGGCCGACATCTACCGAGAACCCCTCGAGGAAGACTTCTCCATTGAATCAAAGAGCGATTACTTGATAGACTTGAGGAAGTCGTGGTTCAACCTACCAGGTGAAGCCGCGAAAGCAATGGATGAGGGTCTCAATGGCGATGACGATGTGAACGACCTGAGAAATAGAAAGAAGAACAAAGGAAAGAAGGGTAAAAAGAAGAAGGGTCATGGCAATATTGGAGGCAAATACGGCGAACGATACCAAGTATCTCTTGTCAGCCCCAGTGTTGTCCCCAACTACCTGCCGACGATTCGTGTTATCGAGTACGATATTAGTGGCCTGGAAGATGCACTAGTCTGGACCGACTCCTTCGACGTTCGCACCGAGGCACAAGAAGAAGTTCCAAGTTTCTTCGAGGAAGAAGACAGCGAAACTCACCTGGAGCTCAAGAGAGATTTCGAAGCTGAGCGAAGACGTAAAAAGAACCGCAGCAGGAAGAGCAAAAAGGGTAGAAAAGGCAAAAAGAGGCCCAAGAACCCCGAACTTGTGGTACCAGAGGACCCTCCGAAGGGATCACTCCCTGGTCCCGCATACTCTCGCCAACCCTTCACCTTCCTGGGATACACACAATACTTTGCCAACCTTACCTACATTAACAACGACATGACTGACTTGACCGAGACAAGTAAGTGGCGCGATGGCGATTTTAGCGATGAAGTACCCAGCCACGATAAGCCACGACCAAAGAAGTTTAACTACGAGGTTGAATACAGCACTTTTACCGACAAGATCTTCAAGCTGCCGGATCTGACAGTTCGCAGCTACCTGAGACTGGCGTCCAGGATTGCCAAGAGAAAGGAGAAAAAGGGCAAGGGCAAGTCAATTGAAGAATATAATGAGGACTTTGAGGATGACTTGGACGACGACGACGATGACGTCTCCGATCTTCCAGAGTATGACGATGACAACGACAACGATGATGATGAAGAGCCCGAGTCTGAATTTGACAGTACTGGGAAGGGCAAGAAAAAGAAGAATAAGCGAAGAAAGAGCAACAAGGTCTGGAAGCATTTCCTCCGAGAAGCATTTGTTAGCACAATCCCTGAGAAGAAGCTCAAGAAGTGGTCACGAGGATGATTGGGATGGGATCCATGCGATATAGCAACTCATTTGGATTTCTTTTTTTATTTTACGATTGGCATATTTAGCGAAGAGACGGACGGAACAGGGCATATTTGGTGTTTACGGCGTCCCTGTTTTTGGAAACATGGCTACTGCCGAGTTACTGATATCATTCGTTATACCGGCCGATTGCATTTGGATATTGATTAATTCATATGCTTATTGCTAAGAACTTTGACTGGATCGTTTTGATCTGATATTAGAATACATATAAAGCACAAGATATTATGAATAGCCCATCGCTTCCTTGCACCGTCCTCAGTATCAAACGTCGCATTTTGTGTGAATTGTCCAAAACATTGTACAAAAAAGAAACCAGGTTCCCTTTATCGGGACACCAAGTAACAAAGGGGTATCAAGCGAATGCAGCTGTGCCAGGAAAAAGACTGACATCAGCGATCCATACATCGTTCATTTGTTCGTGTATCATCATCGACTAGCTCTGTTCATATCACAAGCCAATAACTCAGAATCCCATACCCTTTCCTTTATCTAGCAACGCCTCTGCTCTTGTATACATACGCCTCCTATTCTGCGTTATTGACAACCCGCAACGCCCGGCGCGGACCCATGACAACACTGAAGAAACTGGGTTCTTCGCCCTCGAGTAGTCCCTCGGTTGAGCCTCTGCTGTTGCTTGTCCCAGGCCTAGTGTCTTCGCTGTGCTTTGGACCTCCGGAGCCGCTGCTGGAGCCGGGTTCTCCAGGTGTGGTGTCGTCCTCGTCTTCAGGCCGCCACTTGGGCTCTGAGGTGTATTGTTGGTTGCGATTAGACCCGACCCAACCGAAGAGGCTACGCTGAGAATAGCCACGGTTGGGCCCTGTAGGGTTGAGCATCGATTGTGAGGCAACATAGTATCGGTTTTGTACCGCCAGATGTGTTTTGTAAGCGTTGACTTGACGGCGGTAGAGCCAGGCACAGAAACCAAGGTAGCAAGCCAGAGCACCAAAGATGCCCGCAATCACACCTGCAGCTACCAGCCCTCCATTGATAGACCCTCCGTCATCATCGTTATTATCAGACGACGAACTGGCCGTGGCTGTGGGTGCCGACGTGACTGTGAAGACCGGAGGTTTACCCGTCAAGAACGGACCTCCTGTGGCCGGCCCCGCAGCGGGGGTGGTCACTGTAGCACTACCGTCCTTGTCTCCACCGATAACCTCGCGTACGGCGTCGGGGACCTCGTATCCGTGAGATCCAGCGAGAACAAAGTTGTCAGGATGATGGTCGGGATCGTGATCTCCGGCCGTGAATTTATCCTTCCACTCGAGTGAAGTGGCATCGAATACGTACATGCCTGGATCGCATTTGATGTCCTCGCCTACTCCGCCAACGACGACAATCTGACCGTCGTACATGGCGCAAGAGTGGCCAGCTCGTGGGGCTGGTCTATTCTCGTCGTTCTGGTCGACTTTGATCCATGTGAAGGAAGGAATAGTAAGGATGTACATATCATTGTACTGTGTTTGGTTTCCCTAGTGAAATTAGCACTCGGATGGTGATTGAGACGGTGACAATACTCACAAAAGGTAGATCCTGTCCACCAAACATGTAGATTTGGAAACTCGATGCATCGGGCGCGCTGGCGATGACGGCACAGGGGTTAACACGAACACCTGGCGTATCTCCCGATGTTTTCTGATGGAACCATTCTGAGTTTGCAATGTCGTAAACATTCAAGACACTGAGATCCTCGGTGAAAGTGCTGTTTGTACCTCCAGCAAGACCAATTAATACGCCTTGCTCTCCCCATCCAGGCACAAAGACAAGAACTCCATCTGCCCTTTCGGTAAAGTTACCGCTCTGGATACCCGCCTCGGTGATATTACGATAAGCTCCACTGTCGCCTGCACCTGTGCCATCAGAGAGACTGTCGACACCGGTATTCACGTAGCCAGGATGGGTGAACTCAAGGAGACTCTTGAGATACACCCGCTCAACGCTGCGAGGCCAGTTTGGAGTAGTAGCCCAATCGAGATGCCCGCCAAAGTACCAACTCAAACCGAGCTCTGGCACAGAGATACCGGCTCCTTCGGCAGCACGATGGACTGGCCGATCCCCAGGTTCGGATTCGTTACCGGCTGAAGTCTTGGGATTCTTGAACTCGGTCCATTCTTCGTCTTTTATAGAGTATCGCCATACAGACTCTGGGTCGGGGTCGACATATGGTGCATCAGAGAACTGACCTCCATATAGATAAAGGTTGTTGTAGTCGTGCCAAAGATAACCCATAGACACCTCTGGAGGGCCACTGGGTTTCTCAAGACCATTGAGAGAGGGCGAGTCAATGTCCCAATCTTTAGTAAGATCCAGTGTTAGAAAGTTGTTATTCCATGTGTCTTCAGTTTGATCGGCTTTTGATCTAGAGCGACCGCCATACAGATAGAGCGTCCCGTTGAGCTGAGCAGACTGAAGACCCCACCGAGCGCATACTTCTGTAGGACTTGTCTCGCGTTTCTTTATGACACCAGCACTGGCTCCGTTCACATCGGAGAATGATTGACCATTCCTCCAACTGAAGGCTGGAAGAATAACGGCGATGAGGACTGCTAGCATGGTGAAGCGCTGCAGACCTGAGACACTTGCGGCCGTACCCGAAGTGCTCTTGATTCTAGGTCGGCCTTTGGGATTTGATAGCTTAGCGTACCAAGTCCAAGGCGACGATAAAGACGATTGCCGCGGGCGTTGCTGGTTACTGTCGTTGTCTTGTCCAAATGTTCGCTTGTTAGTCGAGTGCTGATCGCTATCCTGAGTGTCAAGTTGCTCGCTCGCCAACAGTGAAGGTACCGGTGCAGAGGTAGGATAATCCAAATCGTGTTCCAGGCCGACTTCTTTAAAAACGGATCTTCTACCCTTTCTGATAGCGCCTCCCATTTTAAAGGGTGGTGTTACAAAAGTCTGAGCCTCACGCAGGCGATCCGAGGTGCGTTGCGAGTTAAAACGAGGCCGAGCTGGAGCTAGGAAACCCGAATTAGACGGGGGAGAGGATTTGACCATTGGCATTGTGACCAGGTGCTTATGCTTATACGGATCAAATAGTAGCCTGTGGCGATATCCTCTGCTTCATGAGTGGCTCAGATCGGCGAGTGCTATGATGTAGCCACCTTTAAGCAATACCACTCTGTAAGGATCATATCCTGCAGATAACTTGATATGACGGGATGTAGGAGAGTGAATTTGATTGGGGCTTTTGATGGTAGCCTTTGAAAATGGGAATCAGGCTCTGGGAGATTTAAAAGAAAACGATAATTGGGAGAGCCTATAAAGAGTTTACGAGGAGGAGTTTCACGGTGTCTTTTTGAAGGAGTCCAAGCCTCTAATTAACGGATTTAACAGTGATCGACGTACGGAGCTGAGCAACGACAAGGTTGGGCTCTCTCCACTTGGTACAGTCCTCACTTTGCTTGGGCCAGACGAAGGCCCTCATGGTGGTACTGTAAACCATCCCGATAGCGACAGACAGCGAAGCGCGCCCTTGTTTCTCAACCCCTGACACACTGCATCGTCAATTCCTGCAGTAACTGTATGGAATTAGTCCCGATATCCATTGACAGGACGAGACGCGAGGTACATGAACAACGCGAAACACATCCCATTAGTCCGGGCAATGAGAGCGTGGGAATAGAGATGGTAGACGCACCTGCATACCAGTTGATTAAGCAGAACCTTGGCAGTATGATTTCTTACCTGCCAGACGGAGATGCTGTGCCTTGTACCTGGCACAAAGGCACACCTCAGACAGGATCATCACGCTGAGTGCGTGCGTGCAATCCAATATCTGGCAGATGCAATGCCAGCAGCAATGCCTCCCTCGGTAATGAGACGAGCTTGAACGTGCCAAACAGAAACCTGTGGCGAGCACTCACACACACATGTGCCCAAGCTTACTCTAAAGCAGCCGAACAAGCCAAACCAGAATCAGGACCAAAAAAAACTGACATTTCTCCTTGCTAGCTTCACAGGCAATTCAGCTGCAGTGTTGTTCATTACCAGATTCATCTCCGGGACTTGGCATCGAGGGTGTAATGATTGGGCCACGGAGACGTGTCGATGACTTCACATGCTCCCGGGGTGTAGCCTTGGTTTTCGTTGTTTTGTTTTGGATTGTGTGATCGACCGATAACTAGACTAGACCGACTGACCGGACCCGACCGCTTTTTGTTTGATGCTTTAGGATACACCTCCAAGATGATTTGATTGTGATGCCATGCCTCGGGATCCATTGCTTATTCATTTTTCGTTGTAACGCACGCAATAATGCAACGGTCGTGGAATCTGGGGTAAGACTTGGAATTGCTCTGTAACACGGAAAAAGCTGGCAGTCCAAAACTAGACTAATGAAGCATAATGCAGGGATTGTGCTAGTGTTTCTTGTGTTCGATCACGATCTGGATCAGCAATGAATGAAGAATGACGGTTGCAATTGGACCGGATGTCGCTCGATCCGTTTACCGTTCTTGGATCTGTTCTGATACTGTAGCGTTTGGTGTGAGTATCACGAATATACAGTGCGAGTCGAGCATCGACAACTCAAAATCTGTAGTGTTTCCATTTCGAGAATCATGTCTTGTCTTGTGTTGCCCTCCAAATCACCAACACGAGCCACTAGACCCCCAAACAACTGGGCTCGTTCTCTCCGTGTTGGTCATCATGTTGCATTTCTTGTATGTACCATAACATTGTTATCTTTAGACCAATACTGCTTGGACCTTTATCTGATTGGCCTTGTTCAATTTCCTGGCCCTCCACTTCACAGTTTACTACGAGCTTGGAAATGACATACAGCCACACCTCGCTTAACCAGGGTGATGAGCTTCCGCCACAGTAGGTGCCACAGATATGACAGGACGAGCTCGCATTCGTGTTGATGAAGATTGTATTGGATGTTCCTAAGATGAGCTGGAGCACCTCTCCGGCCACGGTGCTTCAGCTCAAATGTTAGAACTTCTATTAAGTTCTGGCCGAACATTTCATTCATGTCTCACGGAGTGGGTCTCGGACTCGGAGCGGAGCTGAATTTTGAAGCCGTCTGTTCATGTGGGACGCAGGTGGGACGGACCGGACGTGCCTCGAACAAGGTGCTACCTGGATTTCGAACAAAGTGAGGCATTCAACCATGCGCGGTAAGTGAGCTTGTGGATAGCTTTGTGATGCCGAACCGATCTGTGTAAGTAGAGGTAGTGCTCACGAGTCAGTAAAGTCCCTCACATTATGCCTCTGCTTTGTGGTAACGGATCAAAGGTATCGTCTTCAACCAGTCTGGAGGGTACCTCTGCCTCTGGTGGTAATTTAGATTCTCCTCGGTTCACCTTGAGACCCTGTCTCACTCCAAGTTCGCTCCCAATAAACTGCAAAGCTACCCCTGCAGCCTCACTCTGCTCGGGAAGAGTTGAAGGGACGAGGTAGACGGCCGTCAAAGGCCAGATCAGTTTCAGAGCGTCAAATACTGTCCTTGGAGATGGATTGTTACGAAAAGACGCCGGGTCGAGGTGTCGCTGTACGGCCTTCATTACATCCTTTGCCCCGTCTCTGACACGCCAGACGCAATGTGCCCGTAGTACTTTAAGCTCATCTGGGGGGACGGGAGTGGCAGAGTGATGGGATAGGAAATTCGCAAAGGTCAGGATGACATGGTATCCCTTAACGCGTGCCGAGTTGAGCATGTTTCGTAGGTAGGGGTTGAAGACCTCGTCGATATAATGATAACTTGCGTCAAAAGTGGTGAAATGATCTTCGGCTTTGAATATGATGGCGACAAGGTCATGATACTCGGCGGCAGCGGCATCAAAGTCTCGAGCCCGAACAATATCGAGCATGCGCTTTTGAACATGTGCCATCTTACAGATGTACTCGCCAACCTCAACGGCCAGCCCCTCTCCAGGGTGAATCGTCTCTTTGATGGCTTCAAACCATTCTTTGGATTCTGGTGGACACTCAAGGGTTGTGAGCAGACACCGTACTTGCTGGTTGACTGTTAGTTAATGGTTGATAACAAACCTTGAGTTGACTTACCACCATGTTGTAAGCAGGCCAGAAGCCCATTCTGTTGCCTCCATCCCGCAAAGAGGCTGCCCCCCTCTGTTTGAGGATACTGTACAGCCCATTCGTATGAAGGTGCCAAGGGCTCTGTGGTGATATACGGTTGATGGAACCCATGAGAAGCTGAAGAACCATGAGTATGAGGGCGTAGTTGTGGAGCGAAACATTTACTTACCTCGTAGTTTGTCAAAATCCACACTGTTGCAAGAACATCGTCTCTCATAGGACCATCTGGCGTCTTTAGCGCCGCGCTGACAGAACTGAGAGTCTTTCCCAGATAAGTGCCCAGCTCTTTATCGGTCTGCTCGACAGAACCATTATCGATGGCAGTTGGGTATCGTAGATTAGTGATGTAAGTGCGAGCAAAGAGGTGTGTAGCCCAGAGAAGAGGACCCTGAGGGCCACTTTTCTTGTAAGTGTCATGCAGAAAATCCAAGGTATAGTAAACATTAAGAAGAATAGGAATAGAATGAGAAGTCCAGTGCTCGTTGAGGGACTGAGGGATAACGAGAGACCCTCCCGTCTGAGTGTATTCGACAAGATCAAGTATGTTTGGCGAGGCAGGGCTTAGTGCATGGTCATCCTCTGTTATAGTCCTAGGGGTGATGGCATCCCCATTTGATGAAAATGAAGATGAAGATGAAGAAGAAGGTGTGTCAAATGACATGACCGACTCGCCATGAGTCTTTGGTTGAGTCCTCTTTTTCCTCTTTTTGATAGAAAATGGGTTGGCATTGCGAAAGACGAGCTCTTGCTCATCTCGATAACCCGGACACTCTTTTCCATACTTGATACACCTTTGGCAAGAGGGACGACCGAGATCACACTGACGATTCTGTTAGTAACTGCCTGTATTGATGTGACTCGGATGTTTGTCTCTGGACGAGATAACGCGTAAGCACGAGCAAGCCAGCTAGCTAACCTTGACACGCCGTGAGCGGCAGAGATGGCAATCTTTACTTGGTTTCCCCGTGTTTGGCATTGGAAAATGACACAGGCGAATATGATGGATAGATAGATATAGGTAGCTGTAGCTCTTTACTAAATGCGTTGTCAAGGTTGAAAAAGGTAATCCTTTCGAAGGAAGCTTTTGTTGTCCAAAGTGGACTAGCGACACGTAGGTGGATTCATAGCTGAGGAAGAGTGATAGTATCACGTGCGGAGCCGACTACTCTTGCTACTACCACAACTACCAAGCACTCACACAAGGCAAACAAAGCATTCACTCTTCGCTGTGTTGATTATATCAGATATCCTTGAGATGGGGCTCTCTGCGATCATGTCTGAGTCGCAACATCTTATATGAAGTCTCGAACATGTTCAAGATGAGATGTAATACAGTAAGGAGCAAACGGAACAAGCATAGTTTACTATAATAGCTCTACTAGTTCATAGAGTCTTCTATACGTAACGAGAGAGGTCTTTATGTCTAGGCATTGACATATAAAACGTACAAGTATCGAAACAGGTTTGTAAAGCACGAGTTCACCACCTTACTTTTTACCACGCGCTTAGCATTTGCACCGACGACAGCGTTGCTCGCTTGCTCTCTGGCTGTATTTAATATTAGTACATACTATAGAAGGACCTTGGCGAGTGACAAAGCTCTGCGCGAGGTATCTTGCACTATTTACTCTATCTTAGATATTAAGGTAGGTGGGTATGAGGCATCGAGTTCAAGTCAGTGTCTGTTCGGAATTCAACTACAAATGATGATAGACTACATTTAGGCCCTGCGATGAATATTCAATACCACAAGTATATTAGTTGAGAGACTGCTCTATTGTTCATGTCAAGTATGTGTTGGGACTAAAGTGCATAGACAATGGCCTAAGGCTTCTTGCAATGCACAATACACCTGAACACTGAACAGTAACGTAATAGGCTGATTATTCGTGCACACTACAATTAGCAAATAAATAACAGTATTACGCGTTTTACTTAAATAAGCAACCTTTTGTTTACACGCTATTGTGGCCGTGAATTTTGCACTGGCACTGGCACTGGCAGCCAACTGTCAGGGAAATCTGAATATTCTATTATGCAAGGCTATACCACTGCTCCCCCTCCCTCTTAGCTCCCCTCATTGTTTACCTTCTCCCCTCTTCTGATTTCACCTTTTCTTCAACCTCTTCTTTTCCATCTAACGCGAACCAAATCGCTACTTTCTATGAACAAGCTTTCTATTGCACGCAAACTCTTCTTCTGCACAGTCTTCTATCGATAACTACTCTATCAAGAACTCTTCTATTATTCACCCCCATCTACTAACAAAAAACCATCCCCTACACGAGTGAATCTCTCCTTTCACGATGAATCTAAAACTTCTCGAGAAGATGCGCAGTTCTTGCCCATCGCGAGCATCATTTATGGATTTTATCAACCATACCGACAACAGTACCACAGCTCTGAGGCGGGATACTCGCAAAGCTGACGAAACTTCGCCTATCACCATCGAGGCCAGGCTCGTAAAGACAGCCCTCGAGGACATTACAAACACCCAAGTCTCGCGCGACAACAGCGAAAAGCAAGATGTCGTCAAGGAAAAGCCTTCGGTTTTCTGCGACAAAATCGCTAAGACTGAGTCTATTAAGACACCCACTGAAGAGCAAGCCGATGGTTACTCGTCCCCTTCTATTGATGGGGAGGTGTCCCGAATGATTGAGGAACCAGCCTCGTCCGCCTATCGCCACGAGTCTACTGACACGCACTTCAGCGAGCTCCCTATCAGTGAGGATTCTAACGGCGAAATGACGTCTGTTGCCAACGAACGTATTGAGCTCAATCCTGAAGCCCCCGTGTTCGCCCAGCAACTGGCAATCGAGGAGCAGTCTATCGGAAGCCCTGCTTTTGACGTAAACACCCAAGATATTTCGTGCTTTGATTGTGAACAAGCTGAACATATCGAGGAGTCCCACAGCCGTCAGGAGGCCGTTGAACGTCAACATCTCTATTACTCTATGCATGAGGCATGGAACAACGAGTCCGTTCCTTTTTACGACAAGCAAACGACTTCTGCCACCGAGGGGTATCCTCCCAACCATCAAGAGGCAGCCGAACATCAGTCTGCCAATGATTCTGCGAGCGAGGATGAAACAGGCGAGCTCTATCCTATCAACGACAAAGCGTACGCGCTTACACAAGAAGAGGCTACTGAGAAGCAGTCAACCGATACCCCTTGCTACGAGACCGTCAACTTCCAGCACCAGCCTGCTTACTACGACTATCTTGATACGATTCTGGAAGAATCGGAGTCCGAACATGACGAGGTCACCAAGGCCAAATTCATCCAAGAAAACACTACTAACTCCGCTACCTCGTCTCCCTTCGAGAGCTCCGTTACAAGTAGCAACGAATCAGCTACCAACGAATCGGGAGTCATTGATTCCTACATCTCTGACATTTTGGAGATTAGTACCACGATCGTCGATCCAGACAGCCCCAACACGGTGGCCAGTGAGCACTCAAATGGAGGGGGAAAGAAGCGAATCATTCGATTTGATCGCAGTGGAGACCTGCATCTAAAAGTAGGAACAAATCACTCCCGAAACATGCTGGTTGACTCTCGAGCACTCGAGCGTGCATCAGCCAAACTGCACGCTGTCATCTCTGAGAGCGCTAAAGGCAACGATGGCGACCAATGGACCATTGAATTTCCTGACGACGACCCAAAGTCGTTTGCTATCCTTCTGAACCTCATTCACGCACGTTTCGAAAAGGTTACCGCCATTGTGACTCTTGACCGGCTCTTTGGTGTATGCACTCTGGCCAGCAAATACGACATGACAAGTGTGCTACGACCTGTCGCCGAAAGGTGGTACATGTCTGCTAGAACAATTGATATAGGCTCAATTTTCAAGATGGCCTTTATCGCCTGGGAGCTGGGGTTCGCAACCGATTTTGGTGAGATTGTTGGATACATTACTCACAATTGTTCCCTGGATGACGATTCCGAGTTGGTTTTTGGCCACAACAAGGAACCACTCAAGGAAAACGAAATTATGCAGAAACTTCCCATCATGAGTAGGCCCTATTGAATCTACTGCCAGTCACGCTTTTACTAACCTTCCATAGCATGCATTGAAGAGCATCGGCAGCTAGCCCTGGAAACTTTTTAGGAAGAGTGCCAGGGACTAAGCGAGCTAATCCTGAGCTGCTCATTGAGCGGCAAGCTGTGCGGAAGTCGACACGGAAGAAGCGAGATTTGTCTGATGCTTGGCAAGATGTTCAGCAAAGCTGAAGAAGAGGGTGTTATGGATCTTTTTACCCCTGGAAGCCTGTGCCAGCACTGTGGAAGTTTGAGCATGAGTCTTGCAACATTGGAAAGAAAGATCAGCAGTGTTGCTGAGTACATGGACGTCTGCGGCTCTTGCATTGGCGTCTTCGAGCTACTCACTGAGGTTCGGGCCCAGTTTGGAAGAGCTGGAGATCCGCTCTACCTGCACCACATCCACACCATGGCTAAGCAGGCCAAGAAGGTCCAAATGGGCACCTGGTCGTCTGAAGACGAGAAGGATGAGGATTAGATCTGCGGATGAGGACTGTGTGTGTGTGGGATTAAGACACGGATGAACGGGGGCCGTCGCTTGTTTTACGTTTTCTTTTCTTTCTTTTTTTGGACTACATCGATATGTATCATAAGGCTTTGCGATGAATAAGGGCCGGTCTATCTACCACTAGTTGGTATTTTGAGATGAATAGCTATGATATGTATGAAAAGTTGAATTTGCTTTGGAGAATGAGAATCAATGAACAAGTGCATCAGAGTGTGTCAACATGCCCGTGATGAATGTTCACCAGCTAGACGTTGCCTTTAATGTCGGTTTGTTTAATGCAAGTAGTAAAATATGAGTTGTTGTGGTTTAGTGTGATGTTGGAACACGATGAGTATTGTTGCAGTACTTGTGTATTTGACAGACATGTTTGATCTCGGAGAACATGCCTTAACGGCAATTTATTCTCCATCTGTGTCTTCCACTAGAGAGGAAGAAAAGAGAAGAAAAAAAGCAAAAACAAATCTGGATCCGTACTAAACTAAAAGAGATCGTGTCGTCTCATGTCATCCCCAGTATATGAAGTGAGGTCTTTTACCAATTTCCTAATTAGGCCATCCCGCTCACTCTCACTGGCCAGCTCTTGTTACCCCCGCTTTGGTTCGACACGGTATGGTCTTGGACGATGCTCCAAGAGGGAATAAAATCAAAACAAGGATTGTGTCTTATTCTTTCCATTCTGTACCTAGGTAAGTAATGGTCAGTAGGTACACAAGCCCTAGTCCAGTTTGTCAGCCTTTACTCTTCTCTTCTCTTATGTACATAAGCCACCCTCTTACCTCTTTTCCCCTTCCCTTCCTTTCCTTCATCTTCCTTCATCATCCTTCCCTCAACATCATCACCATGACTCACTACTCTCAACGGAAAGATATCCTTCCCCTTACTGGCGGTTGCACCTGCGGCCTTATTCGTTACCAACTCTCCCTCCATCCTCTCCTCGTTCACTGCTGCCACTGCACCGCCTGCCAGCGTCAGACAGGCTCTGTCCTCGCCCTCAACGCCATCATCGAGTCCACGGCTCTCAGCCTCATCCCCTCAGCGCCGCCCACAGTAGCCGGTACATCTACCAACCCAGATCCCGTCCCCACGAACGTTCAGCCTGCTTTTGCACGCATCACTTCAGCCGAGTCTGCTATCCGTGAACCCCGGCCTCAGGCAAAGACTTCATCTGTATGTCTCCCGACGGAATCTGGTTTGGGACAGACAGTGGTCAGCTGCCTGGCCTGCCACACTGGCTTATGGAATTATTATGCGGATGCAGGGCCTCACGTGTCGTATATACGTGTTGGAACCCTGGATAGACCTTGGGAGATTGAAGCTGATGTGCATCTTTTTACACGCAATCGCCCAACCTGGATGACTGTCAACGATGGCAAGCCTTCCTTTGAAGAGTACTATGTTAAACGGGAAGATCTGTTGAGAGACGATGCTCTCAAGAGGTATGAGATGCTCAAGCCAAAGATCAATGATATGTGGACCGAGTTGAAGGCAGGCTGGCAGTAAGGGGGAATTGGGAAGCGATACATAAATCACGGCCCAGATAGATGTTAAAACCAGAAGCAGACTGCGAAATGTGGCGAGTGATGTTAAAGTTGTGATCAAGAGCACTCAATATATCATTACAGCCATTATCATTACAATCTTCTTCAATCAAGCAGAAGAAAACTCTCCTGTATTGGTCCACACTCGTCCCTAGCCAATATGGTATATGTATGTACACATGAAATTGCACCGAAGCCGTCGCTCTGTACATGTAGCAACGCTCGCTATAAGCCTATAAGCCTTTCCAATTGCATCCCTACTCCATCCATATTTACCTATCCCGCTTTGACCTGAAAACCCCCGCTCTCAAAGATGTACCGCTTGTTGCGGACTGATATATGATATATGATAAAACGAAGCAAAACAGTCCAGTTATTGCTCTCCAACGCCTTGACATCCAGAAACATAAAAACCGAATACTATTCGAAACCCATACAAATGAACAAATCACAAGGAGCGACTTGAGCCCCCCTGGTTCTGATTTTGGTTTTATGCGAGAAAGATACCCCCAATGTATGGTGATGGTACTCCGATGTTTGTGCAGGAAAAGCCAATATGCCCCCATCCACTGTTGATGCGTAGAAACAAGATAAAAATATAAATGAAATGAAAGCATGTGTGCCAAAGAAAGTAGAGCATAATTGTGCTGTGTTTAATAGTAAGGGTATCTCAGATTCATTGCTTTTAACCACCGACCTTGCGGAAACCCTCGACTCCAAGTACAGGGATTTCCACATCAGCAAGACTTGCCATTCCTTCGTCACGACGGCGCTCGATGAAGTTGTTGCACTCGAAAATGACTTGGGCCCATTCAGCAAGTGCCCTTCCAGCGTAAACCGAGTTCTTAACATAAAGGCCAGTGGGCTTCACGGGTTGCACAGCAGTATCGGTATAGGAACCCGTGTTCGGGTGGGGTGATGGCGACGGTGACGATGATGGGGACTGCGACTGCGAAGGAGGTTGTGATCGTGCTGGTGAGGGTGATAATGCTGGCGATGGCGACAGTGACGAACTGTCCTTAATGGCGAGAGATTTATCGGATTCGTCACTCGAACCCGAGAGCGTGAGTTCAAGTCTAGGGGGGCCACTTTGCTCAGCAGCCGATTTAAGCAAACTCGCGTTCTTTGCATTGTCAATCAGTCCTTGTTGGGGGCTACCTGAGAACTTGCGTGTAATACCATTGACTCTCAACGGCCCACTGATGCGGCTCTCTGCAGGACCGGGAAGTCGAGGGCGAGTCAAAAAGCGCTCTCGGAGAGGCCCTGCCTGTTGTTGCCAAGCAAGAACGAACTTGAAGACGTACTTTGGCTCCTCATATGTGGGCTGAGAGTACAAGGAATCATCTTCGGACGCACGGTGCTTGTGGCTATTGGTATTGGAGGCCCTGCTTGATGTTGAAGCTCGAGACTCTGCCGTCTCCCGACGAACGGTTTGGAAATCATCATCCCATCCAGCGTTTGTGTTACCGCCAAGAGAAAGCACTTTGCCTAGTAGTGACCACCGCTTTCTTCCATCCTGCCTCGATGCGTCAGGGGGCAGACCGTTGAGAACGTTTGTCTCGCTATTAGGGAGCTTGGCAAAGGAGTCGAAACTACCCATATACAAGCCAGGCTGGGGTACATTGATCTCCTGACGAATGATCATGAAGCGTTTTCCTGGAGCAGGGTTCACAGGAGCAGTCGAAGGCGTCATTCGCCCTTCTTGTTCAGCAGCGTGCTTAATATGCAGATAATGGGACCACGTTGTTTGGAGCCGCTCAGCCACAAGAACGAAGATTTGGCCATCCACTTCATCCAGCGTTCCTGAGTCCCGACACATTCGCCAAGACAGCAAACGCTGGTAGTAAGCCCGGACCATAGGGCACCAGTGATTGAAGAACTCGTTGAAGGTTTCTTCAGTAAGCAGCCAGTCTTTGCAAACGGCCAACTTTCGCACAGGGTCCTTCGAGATAGCATCCCAGATAGAGTATATCAGAGCCATCATTCGAATTTCAGACATGGTGTTGAAAGAACCCATGATCTTTTGGCAAACGTCAAACCAGAAAGGCCAGTCGAGGTAGCTATCAGAGCTGTCTGGGTCTTCAAATTCACTGTAGAGTACAAGAACTTCCTCCAAGAAGTCGCACAGGGTGAAACAAGCTGGATGGTTGTACATCGAAACTCGGCGGGTCGCTGCCTTCATCATGGTAGCAAAGGCCTCTGCGAACGTATGGCGTGCCCCGGCAATGTCAAGGGAGTCGTCTGAAAGATAATCTTTCAATAGCATGATACATCGGTTCTCAGCCATGCCCCTCATAACATTATTGAGGGGAAGTGGCAGAGCCATTGCAGCATCGGCGCCTGGCATGCCATCCATGGCAGCGGGGCTGAATCCGCCATCCATGGGGGCCTGACGATGGATAGTAGTGTCCAAAACGTACAGAAGTTGAGCTTGAACAAGAGCGAATCCGGGGGACCTAGCCTTTTCTAGAAGGGGTAGCCCAGGAGGCATGAACTGTTCGGACAGGATGTGGAAATACTTGAGAAAAATGAAGAAAACATCAGTATCCCGCCCTTTCCAGCGAGCCGCCCAGGGACCTGTCCAAGGAATCCGAGACACCAGCACAGGCAACCTGGGTACCTTCTTAAGGCTATCCCACATGCCCTTTGGTGATGTCCAGGCAAATACGCCAATGGTGGGAGGAAACAACGCCGCAATGTCGTCGCTCTCACCCATGTTCTTCTTTGGTAGGCCCAGGTCATCAGCAACTCGTCTGATCAGCTCGGGAGAAAGTCCCCACAGCCGAATCAGAATGTCGGCAACGCCTGGTGCAAAAAAGAAGGCATACGCGCAGGCCTTTCCAGCAAAATTAACCAAGCTGGCCGGAGTATGGCGGAGCGAAAGCTTGTCGACTACAAAACCCATTTGCTTCACCAGGTTGGTAACGAACATAGTTCTGACGCTGTGCTCAGCAGATTCTTCGAGGAATGCTGCTTGACTCGATGTGACGGATGAACTGGACGAGTTTGTCATGGATCGAGCTCGAACCTTTTCCGCTGGTGATCGGTCAAGGAGCGGCAGGAAATAAGACGTAGCTTGTCGCCATTCCAGTCGCGTCATAAGAAGAGTTGCAGCATCGAACAACACTGGGCGGTCGACACCAGGCACGGGTTGGGGAGCTTGGCCATCCAGCATTTCCAAGATTGCAGTCCACCACTTGTTTAAAATTGTTGCCCTGCGGTCGACGTCTTCGGCACAAAGTTTCTTGGTTGATTCATGATTCATGGTGCTTCGGAGGAAGGGCAGGAGCTGTGTTTGAACTTGCGACATGCGGTGCGCGGTGCTCTTAGCAAGGAACCCCTTAAAATCCTCATCGATCGCTTTAAACGATGACCACAAGACGTCTCTCTGCTGAGGCGGCATCTCAACAGAAGATTCATCAGTCACGGTCG